AAGCTTAACCTGACTCAAGTTTTTCGTGGTTTTCCTGTCTTCAGGAAAATGTTGGGATAGTACCTTTAATCAGGCCACGACTTCTTCCTAGCATTCTTTATATTCATCATGTTTATTATTCAGCCCACAGCTTGTTAAATGAATCACAAATATGCCTTGAGAAAAGAGGGAAACCATAGAAATCCTAAGTGAACCCGTGACCCACATTTGAAACATGTACGTCCCGAAGGAAAAGACGCGTTTCCATTGGTCGGAATAAAATGTAGTCAATTCAATTGTTTGTGCTCACGAGTGCTGGAGTAAACAACGCAGGGAAAAGGATAGTTAGCAGAAGGCGAGAACATCATAATTCAATTAGGCGTGTTCAACCGTGGCAGCCCACTTGAACAGACCAACATGAAGGTTTTAAGTGGCACTTCGGCTGCCATGAGCAGGGTGGCACTAATTTCAAAACAAAATATTTTTGATCTGTTTTATTAACAGTGACGTGTTTCGTATATAGATAACGAGGGAATTATTTGTCAGACACTTTGTCTTGTGCGTTGGCAGTGATTCTACAGCGCATTCATTGGAATCGAGTGTATGTATGTCAGAGAAGGGTTGCCCACCTCGCATACCAATCGACTGTAGGTCACACGAATTGCGGGCATCTCTTCGCTGAAGGTGTCCAGTGTTTTAACAGCCCGGACGAAAGCAAGACGACGTATTCAGCTCGAATCAAAGGAAAGACAAAAAAGTTGACGTGATGGTATGTGAAAGATGAAAGAAACAATTGCTGCTCAGACAATTTTGTGCGTGGTAAATTACTAGTATGATAATTTTGTGTTTGATAAACTGCTAGTGCTAGATTTTGAAACCTTCATACGTGATCTTAACAAGAAAGTGCTCATTAAACAACTTCACTGGAACTAATGACAAACCAAAAGGTGAAATAATCTTGTATTGCTTCCAGTCTCGGCGATTTTAATGCACGAATTTATTTATTTTTGTTGTGATTGCTGAATAATCTTCATAGAACACTAGAGCGAAACAAGTAATGCACAACAAATTTTCTTGCAAATACTAACACTGATATAGAGCATAGTCGTGAACGAGGTCATGATATTGAAATAAATCTCAGAAAAGCAGGTTGAGTGAACTTAAACTACTTTAAACCGACTTAAGATAATGCTAAATGGCGAGCTTTCGCAAAGACGCCTAATGCATTTTCCGGTCGCATAACGACAGGAACTTCCGGTCATGGAAGACTCATACCGTTCAGTGAATCGGTAGTCTAGGTGGCTGTGTAGTTCGTGAGATTTGTCAGGCATTGTTCTAGCATACTTACCCTCGACCTAACTTGTCCTTAAGAACGTGTTTGTCAGAGAAATCTGACACCGCGAGCAAACAACTTCACACCCACAGGTTGTACCCGAGAACTGTGTAACTGTGTCAGGCCACTGTGCGAACAAAAGAGGCATATGTAACTGAGGGAAACCATGAATAAATTCAGACAGCTGTCTTCTGGGTTGTACTGATGATGGAGGCAGCAAGGACCTCTGAGACGTTGGTAGACTTCTGGAGGCAGCAAGGACCTCTGAGAGGTTGGTAGACTTCTATCAGACTACATAGCGTTACAACCCAGAAGACAGCTATCTTCAGACTCACCGCCGTGGAAACATCAAATCCTACACAGGACGTCTGTAACCTATTGTCACTTTTATAGACTGTTGATTTTTATTCTATACATCATTCCTTCAGTTATACTTATAAAAGCGCTGAATCGATATTTTCCATAATATATTTATTGCATTCCAGATGGACATGAAGACAAGAATGACGATAATGCTAGTACTGGTATGCTTCACATATGAAGCTACTGCTGAAGGCATCTCCTCAGTTGGTGTTAAACCATTCAATGCTGTTCATGATACAAATGATTCGACAGCTTCGTTCTCCATGCCGGTGCAGTATTCTATGGCAGCTCCCGCAGTTGCATCTGCACAGCTGGCTGCAGCCTCTTTGACATCGGTTTCACCATCATATAATATAATTAGTACCACGCAGCATCCCTTATTTCCATCATCACATTCCAGGTGGATTCCTAAACCATTTGTTCAGCGTTCACAGCCTCCAAATTTTTCTATCTCGGGACCACTTTACAATCGTAGGATTTCCTTCTCTGCAGGTTATTCTGCATCAGAGCCACTCTTTGATTCGTATAACAGCAATGAACCTCAGTATCATCAGATATCTCCACCATATCAACAGATCAAGAGCACAAAGATACACCAGTCATATCCTTCCCTGCATCAGTCGTATATACCAGACACTCCACCATCATCATATTCTTCCCCGCATCAGTCGTATATACCAGGCACTCCACCATCATCATATTCTTCCCCGCATCAGTCATATATACCAGACACTCCACCATCATCATATCAGCAGTACTATGAACCTTCTGTCCCTTCCAAACCATATTTCCTCAAACATATAAGTCATTATAACCCCAGTGCTCATAATCTGATAGATTTCCCCACGCATTCATATAAAGGAAGTCTGGGAGGCAATTCCAACTCCTACTACAAAGTAATGTTTCCCTTAGCTCTGCTGGGAATCAGCATTCCGGCTATTGGATTAATGTACACGTACCTAAGTCGAAGGCGTCGGCGTGATTTAAGTTCAGATGGTGGTAATTATTTTCAGCCATCTGTTAATGACCTCCAGTATTATCTGGATATTTTACAAAGCAGCATTCAGCATTTCCAGGAAGATATGAATAATGAACCAAGTATAAATGACTCACATTGGTGAGCTGAATAGTCGATATCGTGTCAGTGACTTCACCAACATCACTGTAACAGGATTAATGTACTTTTTGAAGACACGTGGCTGTGTGAAGTGAGACTGTGTGCGAAAAGTATGTGACACTGACCGTAAATGAAATTTACCATATCACAGTCCTTTATTGACTTCACATGAAGTGTATCTTAGTCCAGTGGTTTTAAAGTGCAGTGTATTAGTAACTGAACTATTTTTGGTCTTCAGAGGTCCAAGCTCATTTTTAACCTGCCATCTGGTTTTTTCATGGAAGATCTCAGTGGGCTAGAAACACCAGATGGAACATTGACTTAATTTTGCCATATATTACGTTCATTTTGTTACATTATCAGAATGTCTAATCACTTCTTTATTGAAGGCCTAGTGATTTGTCCATCTTGTACAAGGCTCCAACTGCACAAACATTTTGTCTGATTCTGAATGCATATACTGGGCATGATTGTTGGTCATTGTAAATCAGGAGTTATTGTACTTTTTAACACACATTACCTTGTCCTTTCAGCAGTGTTACTGATGATGCATCGTTGTCTACACAAACATGGAAGAACGAAGCAGAGAAATAAGTTTTTTCTGGAAATACTAAAATAATCTCTAACACTGGTTAACAAAACAATGTTTGTGAATGTGGAGGTAGACCATATATACTATCCATCATTACCAAAATATGTTTTTCCCCTCAAGAAGAGTATGTATACCAGAATTGATGTGCATGTGCAGTGGATCATGGGTATTGGAGACATGTCAGTACGCCTTGGTATCTGAGCATCCGTTACCTTCAAATTACCATGTGCAGGATGTAAGAACTGTACCAAATTTCATAAAAACCTTGCAGCTATGTCAGCATATCTATACTAAATTGCCTTCATTACTGCCCATCAGTTGTCTGTCGTGAAGAGATTAAATAAGTTCAGAGATGTGTACGCTACCGTATCAATCCTAATGGCATTGGCATATCCCATTTCGCGAGTTTGAGCGTGCGCCACGATGTTATTACACAGTGTAAGAAATTATGGTGTATGAGGTGACGAGTAGCACGACATCCACAGCAAATTTCACGAACTTCCGCTGAACCATCCTCTAATTTATAATTCGTATTGACCGGCACCAGTTACAAAAAGATATTTGATTGGGTTTGGTTAGTCATGCGCATAGTTTCGTACCACATTTAATGAATTTCCGTCCATCCCTTGTGCAGTTATTGTATATGTGTGGGAGGATAAGACGTGTGAAGAGAAAGGTTTGGTGAAATTGGGTTAGGGATGGGCATGCGAAAAGTATCTTGGTTAATATGATAAACATCGTCACACATCTCGAGTTCTGGCTTCCAACATCTTGTTACCGAGAGTTGGAAGTTCGGATGTGTGAGGTTGTTCAAGTCTCCTATGGCATTACGTACATACAAAATTTCAAGATAATCTTGGTCCATATTATTTTGTATGAAGTACGAACAAACGGATGCAAGAGGTAAATGCTTGGTTAATTTGGGTTCGGTTTTCTAGTAAATGAACATTCTGTTGTAACTCTTATGGAAGTATATATTTACATTGTACAGTTTGTGTAACCGTTAAAGCAACAGGATTCTGCCTTATGTAACCATCTTCCACATACCAACAGTACTTATGTAGATAAAATCGTAAGTATCTGCTGAATGACGTGGTGGTAATTTATGCAAATTGATATTTTATGTTGGCATGATATCAGACATGGATTAAACCAATTAGTCGATCTCTGACACAGAAGATATATGTCTGCAATATGGCGACAGGAAAGGAAAGATCATGGCTGCTTTGGCGAGTAATGTACGTCAGCAGTTAGAAAGGAAATCCACAGTGATTAAGTTTTATGTTGAAGTGCTGAGAAATTGGACACGACATTACTGTGGCTATAAGGTTGTGCAAGTAAATTTACACTAATTTCTGAATATGTATTGAACACAAGGGCAAATATTTGTTTGAAATAAGTAGGAGACAGGAAGACAAAAAGAATCTTAACTGCATTATAGCAGGCAACCACAATTTAGTAATGGATGCTTGTATGGACTTCAGTGTTAGTTTAATTTAATTACATTTAATTTAGCGAACAAGCTTTATTTGTATACCAGACTAGTGGAAATATAATGCTTATATCATAACTGAATAAGAGGCTTTTTGCATGTCTGTAAGTAGCTGATATAACCTGTTAACATTGACATGTAATAAACTGTGTATCCCATACCCTTGTGGTTAGCTAGCATTTGATTTGTCATTTTATTTTAAACTTAAAAAGTTTTAATTTTTGAAGATATTAATTAACTTCTCATTTACATTAAAATTTGTGGTTGGTGTAGCATCATTATTAGCAGTGGCTATATGAGTGATTGAAGTAACTTCTAGTTTGTTTCTAGACAACCGCATGCTTCTTTCCAGGATGGAAAACCAGCTTTTGGACTATTATTTGATATAGATGGTGTGATTGTGCGTGGAAAGAAAGTATTGCCTTCAGCATTAGAATCATTCAAAAGGCTAGTTGACTCTGAGGGAAGGTTCCGAATCCCGACAGTGTTTGTGACCAATGCTGGAAATGCCTTGAGGCATGAGAAAGCGGAACAGCTGTCTTGTTGGCTGGAAATTGAGGTAGGCCATATACATTTTACAGCATTTGTTTTCCACATCAGTATTATGCATCTAATATAAACTATATTTACTATGTTTGTTCTTTTACTTTTACATACATCATTACCGCAAGTTCTTTTAGTTATTTCCTGCTGGTTAATCAGTACTTTTACAGCTTTGAATCAACTTCTGAGGTTAATCAATATCAAGTGAAATATAGCAGGGTAACTGGTCAATGAATTGGGAATGATATGGTAGGAAGCTTCTTGCAGTCGAACCTCGGTCAGGAGAATGGATGTGTAACTGGGATTATAATATGACTTAACAGGGTCATGACAAAATAATATTTTGTGCGAATGTTTGGAAAATGTATCAGTTGACTGCTAAAAGTCTGTATTCCACTGATGTGATATCATGTAGCCAAACCAGATTTGGATCAGTGGATTTCACCATTTTCTTTCCACATGGCACCCTGAACACATATTCTATATTCTGTGGAACCCCTGTCACATTTCCTGTCATTCCAAAACAATTTCAACTCAGAAAACCTCAGATTCTACATATTGCACCTTACTTCAAGCGTCTTGAGTTAGGCCTACTTCAAGCTGCATGGTGTTATCCTAAGTTAACACATGTTACCTAAGCTGACGTCAAGGTACCCAACTTCCTTCAGCTTGTTCCCTTGTTTGACCTCAAGGTATCTGAACTTCTCTCAAATTAGCCCAGGTCACCTGGAATTATCCCAGGTAACTAAAACATACCTCATCACGCATGAAAATATATTGTAAATAACCCCAAGTCAACTGTATGGAATAAAATATAGCAAATGAAACATTTCAATATGAGTGGAAGTTAATTCATCAGAAAAATATATAAGTTAGGAAGCATCTGGAGTGTCAGTAAAGTTGAGAAACCATTTGAAACTTCTCAACTCTCTCCATTCTTTCAGAAGTTTGGCCCCACTTGAGTGATCCCTCAAACACAAATACATCGCTAGACATCACGACAACTGACGAACCAGTGTAGATAGGTATGTGAAATTTGGTATGATGATATATTATAAGCATACCTTCAGACGAAATGTATCATAACTGCAATTAGAGCATCAATTAAAGCAACCGTACGTTGAAGACTACCTTCGTCTGTGGTTTGCTTACATTGAAAAAGTAAGAAATTTTGTCACTTTTGGTGACTGAACAATGATGTGAATTCATTGTCTCGTGAACATGGCATCACATATATAGATATGTTATGTGCAGGGCAAATGAAAAAGTATGTAAAAATATATATTGTAGAGTTCGAATAATATAATTTTAGTAGATAAACAAAATACACTTAAAGTAGGAAGGATTAGTTATCTGCGTAGGATGAAAGTTTGAAAGGCAATTTGAGCCAGCCCCATTCTTTCCATCCAATTCCTCGTTTTCCTCACACTAAAACCATATCCTAAGCCTGGGCCATATAGCATGTCATACATTTTCGTAACACAGAGTTTGATACTAAACAATTTTAATTAATGAAGTTCTGTAAGATGCACAATGTTTAGACACTTCAAATCAGAACACTTATGCCCTTAAACATTCCACAGATAAATTTTAAATGTCCTATACACAAGTTCTCGTCAGATCAAGATTCCTTTTTTTATTTCCCATAACCTCCAAAACCCTTTTACCAATAATGTATCAGTGCAGATTTTTACTGCATCTTTTACATATTAGGTTACAAATATATTTTGTGCTGTGAATTTGAGATTATGAATGAGATTTTTAAACGATTTCTGTTTATATGAGGATATGCTGCAAAGTAATGCCTTGATTTTTCTTTAAAAAACAATCCCATGTAGTAGTGTACAGTAAACTGCACTCATTAAATTAGATTTTCCTGCACATTTGCATGAAATTTTATGGTTATGTCGCTGTAGGTCTCTGAATTACAGCCATGAAAATGATGCATTGTAAGATGACAATGTCAGTGCAGAATAAATTGTTTACCGTGATTAAGTTTTTTTCTGCAGAAAATGTTGCACGAATTGACATTTGTAGGCAGATGAAAGTTGTTTATGGGGATGATTGTGTACACATTGGTATTGTTCAGCCGACAACAGTTGGCATACATGTGTAGCACTTCACAATCCATGATCACTGCGTCTGCTTGACAATAAATTTTTAACTTACTATGCATCCCATGTGGCATATGCAGCATTCTGACTTCACCATGTGTGTGTGTATATTTGTGGGGGTGGGGGGCACCATCTTCATCCACAAGTCCATGACATTGTTCAATTTTTGCAGCTTACAGCTTATAGTTCTGGATATTACAGGTAAATGAGGAGCAGGTGGTGATGGCACATTCACCCCTGAGAATGTTTCAGCAGTACCATAATAAACATGTACTGATATCAGGTCAAGGTCCTATTGTCGAAATAGCCAAGAACCTCGGCTTTAAGAAGATCGTAACGATTGACCAGATGAGAAATGCATTTCCGTTGTTAGATGCAGTAGACCACAAACGAAGGATATCAGTGGTGAGTTCCCGTACAATTAAAGTAGTGAAGTCCTTGTTGAGTAATTGGTGTGTTTTCGTTTTGTGGATAGAAGTGGGGTTGTATGTTGTTTTTTTTTTTAGCCTTGCACGTTTGAGCAGTACTTTCCCAGGATTGAAGCAATTGTTTTGTTTGGAGAACCAGTAAGGTGGGAAACATCGCTACAGTTGCTTATAGACACGCTCATGACAGATGGAATGCTGGCTCACCCTGTGTCACATTTGGTGTATCCGCACATTCCTCTTCTGGCTTGCAACATGGATCTTCAGTGGATGGCAGAGGCTTGGATGCCAAGGTAAAATAGTTTAACCCATCTGATTTATCCCAGTTGTAATTAAAGCTATTTGGCGAGAATGTAGTGCCCTAATCCACCATGTGACTGCCTTGAAAGATAAATTTATTAAATTTAAATAAATTAAATGTAAACCAATTAGAATCTTCTCGGGCAATCAGCCGCGTCGACTGGTTACTGTAGTAAACCAACCAGGATTTGAACCCTGATGATGGGGACAGATTTGGTTCCCGGAAATGTTGGTTTACTACGGCAACCAGTTGCCCAAGAAGATTTTATTGATTGTACTCGCCGCGAAAGTCTCAAATCTGAATTAAATGTACTTTTTCAGATTTTTTCTACTTTCCCTTGATGGTAAATGAATTCCAGTAATATTTTATTTCCATTTTAGGTTTGGCCATGGAGCTTTCCTGCTATGCCTTGAAAACCTGTACAAGAAGGTAACAGGCCATAACTTAATATACACTGCTCTGGTTGGAAAGCCAAGTGAAATAACGTATCATCATGCTCATCATATGGTTGTTGCTCAGGCCAAAAATATTGGAATTGACCACTGTGTGAAAAGGCTATATGCCATTGGGTGGGTATTGTTTCTTTAATTTTCAAGAAATAAGAATAGAGTTACGACATAAGTCATGGGACAAGTATAAAATTTTTCTTCTTGGTTATTATTGATGAGATATCTACTATAATTTCATGTAACATAATTACTGTTGACAAAGCCACCTACCAGCACCATATCATCACACATCATGATTACATTTCCATTGTGCTCAGAGATTTGCTACTACATAACCTCAATGTTTGATGCCATATCATAAAATGACCAAAGGAACAACCTACAATGCGTGTTATAATGAAAGTTGACTGATTTTTACAGAGATAACATATATACAGATGTGTTTGGTGCAAACTTATATGACTGTTACTTGTCAAGGAGAAATATTCAAGGAAGCAAAAGAATTGTAAATAAAGAAAGGAACATCGAAGAGCTACTTGGGTCAGATAGCTCAGAGTGGGATCATGTTGCAGAATCTTGCTCAAGTATTTTAGTTCAGGTGAGTGTTGTATCTTTTATTTCATTTTAACAAGGATTTTCTGAAGCTCGTGGCAATGATATTTAATTGGTATGTTTTCGGCACTGCTATCTGCTTCAAAGTGCACATCGTTCATTCGGAGCATCCGTTGTAAGCATCAGAGGCACACCTCGTCTGTTTGCATTCCTTTGTTATCTTACGTGACATATATCTAAAAGTAAACATCAGATGACTGTTCTTTAACATTTCCTGCTATTTGTACAGTGAATTTCACTGTGGAAGGCGAGTATTTTTTTTCCCTATATACATTTAAATGTTGTGCTTGTGTTTTTTTTTGTGCTGATGAACTGTCCGTATCTTCATATCGTTATTTTATTTGTGTTTCCAAAAGATGTATGAGTTCGCTCATTTACCATTCTTTGCTGTGTTTGTCTACAGACCGGAGTGTATTCAGAGGGTGTTCAGAGCGGAATGCTTGATCACTCGCCACGTGACTTCTTACCTGTCGAAGAGAAGTTGAGAGCACCAAAATTTACTGTAGAAAATGTTTCCAATGCAATAGATTTAATTTTCCATAAAGAAGGCTTCCATTGATAAATGCTCACACGTAGGTACCGCCTGTTACCATGTGACAGGCCCGAAAATTACGCCATTGAAAGTATGTTGGATTTATTTTTTGCGTAGACTGAATAAAATAATGTAAATTTTAGTCATAATTAAAAGTTTACAGAATTATTTATGGACACTGAATTAAGGTCTGTGTTCTGTCCCAACTCTGAACTGTTGTGAAAACTTCTTTTGTACAACATTACACTTAAACACTTCAAGTGAATCAGTATTATGAAGCAATTTATTGATGCCAAGTACACAGGCAACTAATGTGTGTTAAGAGAGATATTTAATGGCACGTGACTTGAAAAGTATTGATTGGGTATACGTTTTTGTGCTAAGTCGCACACAAGTATGAGGACTTCTATGTTTCTGCAGCACATGTCTTAAGTTGCCGCTATAGCTTCAGTCGCAAATAGCGGAAAGTGACCCAAGATAACCCAAGACGATAATAATTACAGTTATACAAGCAACATTTTGTACAAGACAAGTAAATACTTTTTATCAAAATACATATCAGTAATTTAATTTCTGTGGATATGTTCCAAATTTGAAATTAAGGAAACATATTTTTGTCATATTTCATAAAAAAATTACAAGGGACGAAGTTAGTTAAGCATGCTCAGATTTCACTCACAAAATAAGTACGAAAATGTCTATTGTGCAGGATTTATACGTATTATCTTAAGTCATAATTATTTATTATAACATGTACTACATTCTTTTACTTTAAAATGGAACAGGCCTCTAGGCCTATGCCCTTTGGTTAATGATTTTGTTGTTACATTATGAAATGCCATACTTACGTAGTATCTCTCTTATAATATGTAATTGTCTGAACTGTATTAGTTTTTATTTATACCTTACGTATTTAATTAATTAGATACTAGAACATCATTATATCTGTGATTTCATGGAATAGTCGAGGGGTTTATGAGATTCCTTGAGTATGATGAGAATGAATTGTATAAGCAAGAAGTTTGGAACCGTGCTGATGCACCAAAGTCTGTGAACGTGATGATTAAGTAGCAGTAGAATATAAACTATTTACAGGAATTAAGGCAGTATTTTTCATACTTTGGGAAATACCTGTTATGATTTCTGTGTGAGATTAGAACTTGTATCACAAAATGAGGGAAGAATATATTGGTAACTGGTGCAAGTTTTTCTTGGAGTGGGTTTTCTTCTACAGGCAGTTCATAACAAGATGCAATATGTAATGTTGTCCAGAAAAGGTTAGGATGTAATGAATATACAAAGATGCAGTCATAATATTGTTTATTAAACACATGATACTCTTTCTTGAAACTACCAGACTGAAAGTCCTTCATCCTCTGCCTTCCTTAGTCTATCATTCTCCCATCTTCGTCTCCCCAGTGGGGTCTCTTCCCTTCAGGCTTCCCAACCAGTACCCTGGTGCACCTGTCTTACTCCATCCATGCGCTCCACATGCCCCACCCATCTCATTCTTATTGACTTCATAAGTATCAGATGAGAAGTGAATATTAAATTGAAAGTGGCTATGGCATTCCCTACAGTATTCCAGTCATTTACCTAGACGTACTGAGTATGATAACGTTATTGTTATCAGTGTAGAAGTGTTCGAAGTAATAAGAATACTAGACGTCATTATATATTATGCTGCCATCTATAAATGGTTACACGAACTATACATACTAAGATTTGCTCTAAATGTGAGGTTCTCACGATGGCAAATATGAAGATGGTACTTGTTTGGGTTTTTATGCCGTGTGGTACAAATTTACCGACGTTTCAGAGTTGTTTGTTTACTCATCGCCTTGATGATAGAGGCTACAAGCACTTCTAAAATATAGGTAGCAAAAGTTGGTAGTATTAACCGATGACTATTCGTATGGCACATTCGAAGAAGTCAGGGTTTTTTTTATTATTGTTTATAGATGATTTCATAGATAACTGACCTAGTAATATTACTTGGATGTCCATGGTTCTCATCTTTGCTAACTAAGGTTTGGCTTATCTATCTCGTGACGGTTCTCCGATAAGATGGCGGAAAGTGGATATTGTCTATCAGCTCTTCTTTCGATATGTTTTTTAATGAATATCATTTGCAGTGCATATTCAACAGAATTTGTTCCTGTGTTTATGTGGGAATCATTAAGGTAAGATTCCATTACATCCGAGTGATGTATGTAGGTATTCATATATGACTGCCTTGAAATATCAGGAGACTCGCTTGCTCAATCGATATAACAGTTTTAGATTAGATTGTAATTTTATTAAGTATTACATTTTAATGAGATTTGCATCCCACTATGGTGGGGGAAGGAGGAGCCCAGTTCTAGTTTAGTGACGAACGCCTCTGAATGAATGAATGTAACAAAATCTTTTCTGCTCCACCTTAAACATCTAAACTGATCTAACCTATAGATCCCTAATTGAATTTGTTCCTGCCTCTTATGAACATCAGCGTTAGTTGCTATGGAAGTTTCAGATCATACATCTGAAAATAAAATGTTGTGCATATTGAATGTTATTACATCCTTTGATTTTTCTGGGATGCAGAACTGAAAAAACAAACTTATGAAGTGTGTTCTCAAAAGCATTCTCTGTTGCTTCTGAATGTATAAAATTCGTTAAAATGTCAGATTTTCATACCAATAATTAAACATGTTTCAGTAAGTCACATCCAATAAAGGAAGTTCCTGCATTAGCTACAGTAAGTGCTGATGATTTCAAGCATATTTTGATGGAAAAACTTGAAAGGAAACCAGTAGTTGTCATCTTTGCTGAAGAAAATGTAAGTTTATACAATTTGCAGAATACAGATAACTGTTTACATCAAATAGTTCTTTAAATGAAATTTCACTGTGATGCAATTTTATCTGTGACCCAAATTATGGATTTGGTCATCCAAACTTGAGTTATAAATATATTTACTAAATAAAAGTATGAAGATTTCTGTCTTCTGGGTTGTTGCTCCATATAGTATGGTAGGTGTTTACCAACATTTCAGAGGTCATACTGCCTCCGTCATCGGGCGATGAATCACAGCCTTACGTCTCATTTTATGTAAATCTGGAATGAATATAAGTTGGAGCTCATGATGAAATGAAACATTTATCCTTATTTCAACAATTATTATTCCTTAATATCTTAGTTACATGTCTGAATTCTTGTGTGTTCTATGGAAAAAATGTATTGGTAGGTTTCGTACTAATCCTATTTTTTTCTATATATTGTAGCTCAGTGTGGAGGACTTTACTTGGCAAAATGAAGCAGGACAAAGTGCATTCCCTAACTTGGAGAACATAAGCGCTGTAGCCGATGGACTGACGTATTTGCCGTTTGTTCACGCTCCCCTTCGTGCATTCCATCATCACCTGCCGCTGCACCAACAGGATTGGCATCACTTGAAACTCGGGCGCAGTGGCTTCAGCAAGGATGCTGTGGCGTTGAACGAGACCTTGTTTTTCGTACATCTTGATGATGCTACTGGTGATGAAGATAGACTAGATCTTCTTAAACGACATGGTAAACTTTATTGTGCTGCCTTCAGTTTTTGTTAGTCAGTGAATTCAGTTTCTTTTTTTCCATTTTTACATGTATGATTTCCTTGCAATCAACACACAGCTGCATTAACTCCTTTTATCATTTCTTGAATTAGTATTTAGTAAACAGAACACATTAAGTGTTCATTTATATGGAAGTTCCTTATCAAAATGTTTTCATGTAGTTTTAGTTTCTACAAGGAATATGATATCACCATTATTTGACTAAAGATTACTTTATGTATTCAGTCATAGGGGAATCATCTCAAAGAAATGGATTATGCAGGTGTTAGATGGATCAGAATATGGTTCAGTCACGGCTTGTTACGAACAATAATGAACCTTTGGCCAACATAAAAGGTGGAGGTACAGCATTTAGCTGTATGATGTAAAATAAAAATGTATAGAAAATTTTTCTTTGCAATATTGCTTGGAAGAGACATCTTAAAAAACCTATATGTAAATGAGTGGATAATATTAAAATAGATTTTAAAGAAGTAGTGTTTGTGTGAAATGAAATATGTTGGTCCAATATCAGGTTAACTTCATGAAATTTCTTGTATGGGTGAATAACTCTTATGTACTCGAGAGAGACTGCTCACTCGTTACTTAAATGTATTTTTCAAGTTTTTATTTAATTTTAATTACAACAGATGAAAACTGTGTTCTACAGATGCTGTCATTTCCCAGATGTTCAGTATGCTTGCAGAACACCACAGAGATGTATTAGCAGTGTACACTGCTCATCACTCATCTTGGGTACGGAACAGTTGCCATATTTGTCTATGTAATTACTTACATTTCTTATTCTTGAAGTAAATACTAGAAATCGCTAATTAAGTGTAAATTGAATTTCACTATTGAAATAATGTCATGTGTATGTCGTCAGGATTGTCGTCATGATGTGGTACAGTCTTAGTTATTGTGGTCACATGCGTGCTGTCTGTGTTCCAGCAGTCTGACGACGAGACGCTGACTAGGAGAGTACGCAACTTGCTTGCGACTGACCTTGCGTTAGGGGACAGAAGTGGATATGGGAATAATGACACCCTCCTCTATGCGCCAACCATGATCTTAACCGTAGAACAAGAGGAAAGGTATTCTCGTTTTGTCACATAATCTTCAGCTGCTCTGTGGAGTAATGTCTAAAGAAAACTGCTTGTGTTCAACCATGACTTGACATTCGGAGGCAGTTAAGTATTCTGATTGGTGGGGCTTGAGTACCTCAGTGATCCCAAGAGCTATGCTGGCGGTATCATAGTTACTGGTAGGGCCTCCCTAGCCGGATTGATCGAGGGGGAGAGGTCAGACTAAGACAGGTACCCTGGTCCTCCAGGTTGGGGGTTGGTCGCAAGGCTAACAACCTTGCACCGTAAAAAAGGAAGATGTTTTGAAACCTCTATCGAAGCCTCGGACAGACGGACCTAACAGAGGACCGAATGGAAGAGGAGAATTGAGGAGGCCATGGACCGAATACGGACCGGAGAGCCATAGAAGAAGTGTTCTGATGGTTAAACTTGGACTGTGGAATGTTTTCACGTATCTGTTTTAATAGTATAGAAGGCGTGGACGACTGCCACACTTTTGGCAGAAACTTGGTAGCTACAATATAGCGATTGGGCACTGAAAGGGTTAAATAAATATATTAAACTGTTGTTTTGACATTTAGTAATGAATTTATTGCGCATAGTGACAGCATCTTCTTTGTGATTTACTACACAGCTGTGGTTTGTTGATGTTCGCGTTTTATTTAGCTTAGAATTCCAGATTTTCTCATTTACTTTCAAAATTCTGTATTAAAGTTCATAATTATTTGTTGTTTATTTACATTCCAGTATTACTCTTGCAAATGGAACCGTAGAAGGGAATGAAGATCTCGTCATTAGTTTTCCCGATAATATTACTGTGACGTGAGTATTTTATCAGAACTCAAGTGGCTAGTTTTATTATTATCAATACAGTGTCATATTCCGTGTTGTTGGTATTTGTGGAATTTATTCATTATGTTATGCGTTTGGTTTCAAATTGTTCAACGAGGTAACATATAACATGCTTGCAATTGTTTATGTCAATGTTTACAGATTCTCATTTGAAAACACGGACAGCCCAGGTTATTGGAGTTTGCGTAGCGTAATTGTTACAGTAGATGATAAAACATACGCCATCGATGATGTGAAGGTTGGAGCACCTTTAGAGTTTTCATACCATTGTAGTCAAGGAGTAATTTTGGATGGCAGAAACATGACACTTAACATTAATAGTGGCTTCCAGGTATTGTAAATATTTATTATAAGAATATGTAGCTCTGAAATAATGTATCATTCTGCATGTGGAAAAATAGTTACTTCTTAATATCTACCTAATATTAAGTGAACAATTAATAAAAATTACTGGATACTGGGAACGACCCGTCCTTCAAGTGCCTGAGCACTGCGGGTCCCAACTTTTCGTTGGCTTGATCTATAGACATTCGGTACGACTCCATGGATGAGGGATCGGCCCGTCACAAGGCCTCTACCTGTACACAGGACAGCACAACACAGGATAACGCCGACTAACATCATGGCTTGAGTGGAATTCGAACCCACGGTCCCAGCGACCAAGCGGCACAAGGCCCATGCCTCAGACCACGCGGCCACTGCAGACCTCTAATAAAAATTACAAATAAATTAATTAAAGAACATGGGCTGGAACGAATGTACTACATGATGGAACCTAAAGGATTTTTGAAATTGCCTGGAGGAGTTTTGTGCAGATTTTGGAAATTGGGTGTTTTATTATGCTCCTCAATATCTGAGACAACACACAGCAACGTAAGATAACACTAATGGAGTTAAATTTTAGAAATTGTATATGGTTTATGAGTTAGATATATGTTTTTGCTTGGTGTGAGTCTTTCAGCCCTATATTTCTGAAAATACGGACATCTTAATCATCATTACCTATATTTTGAACAACTATGGATATTTGGGAAAGGAACTTGGTAATTGTTATCTGATGGAAGATACAAAGTATCGTTGCCTTCTACACCATATGTCTGATGCATGTCCTGATGATGTGGTTTCATTTACAGATACAGCCGTATGCTGATGGAAGAAGATTTGGAGCTGCTTACGATTGTGTTTATTTTTTTACTGTTCCGATATGGTCGGGGATATTTGTGTGTGTAATTTTTTCCATAATTATGATTTTTGGTCTTGGAATGATAATGGATATAAAATCCATGGATAGTTTCGATGATCCAAAAGGGAAGACTATTACAATCACTGCTTCAGAATAAACATTCAACTTTGTGATTTTGCTGTTGGGCATAAAATGACAAATAACATATTGGGACACCAAAATAGGAAACGTACCATATTTACCTGAATATGAGGTAGTTTTTGGTGTTTCGAAAGGTGTTGAAATTTAGGGTTTACATTGTAATTTAGCTGCACGGAGCAACAATTTTGGTACACGTCCAAACTCATTGAAAGCCACGCAGTTCATAACATTCCATAAGTGTATACATTTCATTTATTCTTTTACAAATAACTTGGAGAATATTCCTTTTGTTGGATACTTCCATGTCTGTAGCGCTGTTAACAGTATAGCTGTTCAGATTGTAGTCTTCTGCGTTGTGACTGTGTAGTCTCATCATTTTAGAGGAACATTGACAACCATCTGCAATATTACACGATGTCACAACCGAGAAATCACAGTCTGAATATTTGCAACCGTGAAAACTTCATATCTCTCATAAAATATTTGTACAGAATATATGGATTTATTTGTATTGATTGATTTCAGGTAAATATGGTAATTCACTGCAGTTATGGTAGCTATTAAATTACAATTAATATAGTTAAAGAATGAATATAAGACCATTTTTATTATACTAGTCACTCATTTTGAGCTCAATGAGCCAAAATACAGTATTAAAATTTGCCCATAGTGAAAATATGTGTGAAGCTGTTGGTCATAAAATGCAATATGTACAGCATAAAGAAGCTTTATGTAGATAACTGAATAGTAGGTACTCATTTCTTGAAATAACTTGCCAGACGTATAGTTTTGTCACGTTCAGTTATATTTGACTATATCCAGTAAAACTATGCCCTTGTTTTCAAGAAAACAAAAGATTTAATTTATGGGCAGTGCCATATATCGGGAAAGAATTAAGTCGTCTCTCGGTACTAGTCGCTATAGTAATTATAAGGTAGGAAGTCACTTGGCAACTCATGTTGGCCGTGGTACTTGCACACAAAAAATAATTATGTATTATTCATGTTAAATGTATTAACTGATACCTCTTGTGTATATAATATTGTACCTGATTGTGGTAGATTTTGCCTTTGTTATTCTTGAAGGACATTTAATATTGCAAGTTTTGGGGTGATGGTAATGCTCTCTGCGGCTGATGGCTTTTGTTTCTGCATCAATTCATCAAGAAAACTTCATGCTGGACCCCAAGTAAAATCTGGGGAGAGTAAATAACTTTGGATTTGTGTCAGAATTGTGTTTTAATATTTTGAAATGTGTTTTTCTACAAACTGAAAAATTATTTTCAGGAAAATAACATTTTTGTTTTACTGAAATAATTGAGAAGTTCACCTCCCCACAATTTTTCTTTCTTCAAATTGTGTATACTGAATTACATTTCCTGTAGGGAAGGTCTATTCATCATACTTAATTATACTTAAAGAAATACTTTGTAGTCTATCAAGGACTTGTAATATGTTGCTATGTTTATGTTCTTTGCAACATACTGTTGGTATTTCTTATGTTGATGTCAGTAATGTGCATACAGGAGGAAAGTGTCTCCAATAGGAGAATGGAAATTTAACTAAACTGTGCATAACATTATCATTAATCATGATAAATTTTAAAATTAATGCTGTACTGAATGTTTATCAAAGAATGCTAAATTCCATTTATGCAACTTCTTTTTTATGTCTATCTAAGTCACCTTGTAAGTCAGTATTTGTGCTCTTATGTAAAGTGGTCATTAAAACTTTGATCTAATCTAGGATATAAGTGGTCTGACAATTTTTTGAAAATTGGGTTGATTCGTGTGCTTATATTTGTAGTAAAATTATGGTAGCAAACATTCACTATTTTTTTTCTTCTTTTAATTTCTGAACACTTTCTGCAAAATACAGTACTGTAACATTATGAAGCTGATAATGAAGGTCTGTGAATGGATGAATGAATGAAATAGCAGGTTTGTAATTAACAGTGAGTGATAGTTTCCTGTGTCACATTGGTGCATGGAGATAGGGTATTGTATGCTTTATAATATTAAGTCATATAAAGGAATAAGTTGGCACAAATGTATGTTGATGGAAAGTGATAAAGATGACTACATGAGCGTGTAAATATTATCCATGAATTAAATGTTGAATTGTAGTGTTTTAAAAAGTGCAAGTGGCAAATGTGTCAACCTTTACAGCCACTATCGAGTTTCTTTAGGTATATACATACAGTAAAGCAGGGAAGAGGATTGCCTGAGGAGAATCAGGTTGTAATGTGCATTAACAGAGGATCATGGCTGATGGATGGATAGTGCAAGAAGTTCGAACGAATGAGTTTCGAATGCTGACGTAATGGCGTGACACATACCGATTTTTATTAATTTCCGTCCATTCTCTAATTATTACAATTGTACGGGCGAATATCAGTTAACGTTCGTACTCTCAAATGCCAAAATTAAAACGAAACAACGTGTAGGTTGGTGGATCATATACACGGGGTTTTATGAAACGATAGTCTAGCCTTTGGCATCTTTATTTGACCTCGTGTAGGTTGAATGTTAATTGCATACAAGTCAGGTCTACTTCTGTCCTTTATTCATTAATTTATGAACATAACTTTGTAAGAAGAAGAGGAAGAGGTCTTGAATGTCTTTGGTCTGTTTCTTACACTCTTAGCGGTGGTTTTATCATCTGTGTTGGTCGATGATCATAAGAGTGACAAGCAGGTTAAATTGGTGTTATTTTAAGTATATTGTGGTTGGAATATCATTTTGTGATTATTGATACACATTGTTCTCAATATGTCAGGAAGTAAGAAAGATAAAACAATTATTCCAAATGCCACAAAGAAGAATGAAGAAGAAAATGCGGAACTGGTAAGAATAACTTTAAATGTTTGCAGTTCCCCGAAACCAATTTAAAGGCAGCTTTAAAATAAAAAATCGAGTTCTTATTTATATTATTATCGTTAAGAAAATGATTATTCGAATCTATAAGTTCACTTACGTTTATTTTCAGTCTGAAGAAGATAAACAACTTCAAGAAGAGCTAAACATGTTGGTTGAAAGGCTGCAGGTAGGCATATTATTATTTTTGGTAACAAATTTCTGCTACAGTACATCACTACGGGCGAAGTTGTGTATAGGTTTAGAATGTGGTTTGGTGCATTATGAGTTAACATAACCACAATCAGGAATTTAAATTAATTCCGCATGTTAACTTCCAGCTTTTGTTCACCAGGAGGGGTTTGTGTTTTACGATAGAAGGAAATTATATTTCGAACACGTAAGGGTAGACAGTATATAAAGGGAGCAGAGAGAGAGAAATGAAAAATACACGAAACAGACCCATTGATTCTCAAAGAGTAGGACTGTGATTAAATTTAGCATTTGTATTGGCCTTGTTAATTACTGTATTTGTCTTTTTTCTAAACCTCTGTCAAGTGGTTTATGAAATAGAGTATGTTAAAAAATTCTCTCCTCCAGGTAAAAAAGTGTGTTCAAAATTTACATTTTAATCCTTTGATAATGCACTTTGATAAACATTCTAGAGTTCACTTTAAAGGTTATAAAATGTTCTTTCTATCCATATATAAATATACATTACAGTTTTAAGTGGTTAAATATTATGAAGTTTGGAAATTAACTGCAGAAAAATGGAATGTTGGATTTGTTTGGAACGTTTCATAAATGTCAGCCACATACCCCTTTGAAAGCATGCAAAAAATAAATCTGAAACCACAAGATCTTCGGAAACTATAATTAATTTTGTAAAGAAATTGCACTTTTTTCTTAGTTTTTTTTATTACACAGCATTATACATTAACACAACTGAGCAGTGGCCTGGACCCACAGTCACTCACATGGGGTCAGAGGTGGTCCTGAAACACTGGTGATTTTTAACCAGTTGACATGCTTATAGCCAGAGAATAAATAAAGAAATGGAACAAAGTAAAATAACCTAAGGAAACCAAATTTGGAAAGAAATACTACATAGTTGTGTGGTCCAAAATCTGTCCTAGTGACAATGTGCAATGTTGGCTTTCCCAAATTCAATTTTTTTACTCAATTTATTACTGAATGCAGGTGGATTGGAGGAGGACAACAGCATTTGTGGTGGCTGCAATAGTATAGAAAGGAAATTACTTGTGTACCCATGCACACGGCCATGAGGACATGTAAGGGTGTGGAGGTAATGGTTTTATTCATATACATGAGTGTTTGCAGGAAAATGATGAGAAACTCTACTTGCCAGCACTTGAGAGCCTAAGGAGCCAAATCCGCGCCTCTACAACTTCAATGACTAGCGTGCCCAAGCCATTAAAGTTTATGAGATCTCATTATGATACGATGAAGCAGATATATTCGAAGATACAAGATCCAAAAACGAATGAGTTTTGTGCTGATGTTATATCTGTGCTGGCCATGACCATGAGCGACAGTCGTGACTGTCTTAAGTATAGACTGCGAGGGTCACAATGTGAAATTGGAAACTGGGGTCATGAATATGTTAGGTAAGATTGATTTCTGCTTGGTTGATTTAATACGTCATAAGTGCATGTAGATCGGACGGTAATATTTATGAAAGTTGTTTGTGTCGCTTGGTGAAGGATCGGTATCTATATTCACCTGTGTTTCGGAGTTGGTGCTGTCACTTGTTTATTTATGTGGAATTGTGTCTTAATTCTGATTATTTATAGACACCTAGCAGGAGAGATTGCAGGTGAATGGGCAGACATGAGTGGGGATGACGAAGAATTACGAGTAAAGTTAGTGGGGCTGGCTCGTCAGATTGTTCCATACCATATGGCACATAACGCTGAAGCAGAGGCTTGTGACCTGCTTATGGAGATAGAACGTTTGGATTTGTTGGAGCAGTATGTAGATGAGAGTGCATATCCAAGACTGTGCTTGTACCTTACAAGGTAATGATTTTTATTTATCGAGGTTTGAAAAGTTTCCAATGAATTACTCTAATGTCTTGCTTTGATTTTCATGTTTTTTTATATACATTTTAGGGCTAGGACCAGAAATCTCTTTCATGTCTCAGGCTTCTGAGATAAGAGGTCAAATGTGTCGGAGTAAAATTGGCATTATGCGATTTTTTATTCCATTCTTTAGATATTTCTATTTAATTTCTTTTTTATTTCAGCTGTGTACCGTACGTGCCAGATCCTGAGAATACGACGTTACTCCAAGCTTCACTTCGCCTTTTCAAACGTTTTAATCAGTATCCTCAGGCGTTAAGAGTTGCAATGCAACTGAATGATATACATTTAATTGAAGAGATATTCACGTCATGTAATGACTTGTAAGTACTTCATACTTTCACGTATCTGCTAATATTTAATTATGTCATTACAGTGTAAATAAAATATTTAAACGAGTTGGCTTGTAATTATGGAAACCATTCAGTTTATGTTAATAATATTTTTATGTATTATATCTGCTGTCGCTTTGTTTATTGATGCCAAATATGTTAATGAAGAACAGTGTCTGGAGGAAGATAAATGTTACAGTATTATTTTTTTAGTTGGCTGAGTGCGAGGTAAGTGCAGAATTTTGGAATTTATCCCTGGCAAATCTTGTTTGTTTCCTGTGATGGTCGCTTTATATTTTTGTTTTCCCGTTTAGTGTAATGAGTCATGGATCCACTTTCAAAATTTTTGAGGTGTGGTTGCTCAGTTTGACTATGTTAGGATTTAAGTACGTCATTAATTCTTAAATCATTTATTTTTGATGTCTTATTATGACACTATTGTTAATGAACAATAGCAAGGTTAGCAGATTAGAAATTTAAATACTTGTGTTTGTGCTTGACTCTGCAAGGTCAAGGAAGCGTTTAGCAGATTGATGGGTAACCAAAAGGATCATAGTGTTATCTGAAGTTGTACGTTTTGTGTATTTGTGTGTTTTACTGTTGCAGGTCAGTGCAGAAGCAGTTGGCTTTTATGTTGGGCAGACAACAGATCTTTCTTGAGTTGAATGAGAATATGGTTGAATATGATGATCTTGTTGAAATTATGTCAAATGCCCATTTAAACAACCATTTCTTGAATCTTGCTCGTGAGGTTAGTGATATCTTTATGTTCATCCATTGGAATGTGGTTTGTTTTCGCACCATACTGCTGAGATCATTTGTGTTAATGGTTCCAGTTGTGATTATGTTTCTGGTTTGAATGATATTATTCTTACTTTATACTATTTAAGTACAATTATCTCTGAAAAGATTGTGATTCCATTTTAAACTATAGGAATTTATAAACAGAATTCAATTTTGGAATTTCACTCTTATGTTTCAAGTTTTAGCCGTACAGTTAAAGCCAATTAAATGAGATTTCACGACATACGTAAACATTTATGGAAAAAAATTATCTTTTTAGCTGGATATTATGGAACCGAAAACCCCGGAAGACGTATACAAATCACATCTGGAGAATTCACGACCTGCGTTTGGAGGTGGTCAGGTTGATTCTGCTCGCCAAAACCTTGCGGCCAGCTTCGTGAATGGCTTTGTGAACGCTGCATTTGGTCATGACAAATTGTTGATGGAAGACGGAAATAAATGGCTTTATAAAAATAAGGAACATGGTAATAATTGCATAACGAGCTCATTTCTTTTCCTACATTTAACCACCTGGTTGTGTAATTACATTATTATTTGTACAGGCGTTTTATATTTAATGTTCCTGTTCCACTTACACGATATAAGAGAAATTATATTAATTGTTTAACTAGTGAGTACTTACTAGCTCACTGTCATCTTTGCTGTGTAGAATTCGTATCTCGTAAGATGATTTTTAATTTTATAATAAATTTGCTTTAAGGAATGCTGAGTGCTACAGCATCTTTGGGCCTGGTCTTGCTATGGGATGTTGATGGAGGTTTGACTCCCATTGATAAATACCTTTATTCAGCTGAAGATTATATTAAGGTTAGTTTTGAATTTATGGTGAGACTTTAGTGTAATTAATACCAACATTTTTTGAGATTTTATTATATAAAGAGATTTGAAGTATTATTACAGTGCAATGTGTACTGAATGTCTGTCCAGGGGACAAGATTTTTTGTGCTTGAAATTGAGATAAACTGTAAGTGTGGTTGTGGGAAAGTGGTGTTTAAAATGACTGTTCAACTTCGTAAAAACCTTTAAAGCCCAGTATGGCTGCATGTCCCATCTACTTTAATAAACAGTAAATTCATATTTTGCTCACAGAGTGTATGCATGGATTCTTTGTTATTCTCGTAGTAAACGGCGATCATTTCCTTTCACAGCGTGAACCATCTGATCTTTTTTAAGTGCTGTATTTTGTTTATAATTTAAGCACTGGCATTTGAAAAGGATACAAATGATTCACTGGAATTCATATATTTTGATGATTAATGGTAATGATTTATAAATCCTTTGAAAGGGTTACAAAGTTCAAATATTTGGGAACAACAATAACAAATCAAAATGATACTTGTGAGGAAGTTAGGAGGAGACTAAATTCCGGAAATGCTTGCTACTTCTCAGTCCAAAATATTTTGTCTTCCCGTCTGATTTCTAAGAACCTGAAAATGAAAGTATACAAAACAATAATCTTGCCTGTTGTTTTGTATGGGTGCAAAACATGGTCTCTCACTCAGAGGGAAGAACACAGATTGCAGGTGTTTGAGAATCGGGGGTTGAGGAGGATATTTGGGCCTAAGAAGGAAGACGATGGGGCGTGGAGAAAACTGCACAATGACGAGCTTAAAAATCTGTACTCCTCCCCCATGGATTTTGTTGGCCCAGGACAGGGTCCGGTGGAGGGCTTTGGTTAATTCGGTGATGAACCTTCGGGTTCGGTAAGCCATCTAGTGAGTGAGTTAGTTAGTGGTAATGATTTTGTTGCGTGATCCACCGTTTAATTTAAATGAAATTAAGAAAGATTAAGTGGGAAGGGGCTGTGTTCAGTGAAAATCATTGTCTTTTGTGTGTAACTTGTCACATAATTTGTGTTGTGACTTTGATGTAATGTGTATGGAACAATCTTGCAATCTTGTATGTGAAAGTCTGTAACAGAAGATTATCGTTTGCAGTCGGGGGCTCTTCTGGCTTGTGGTATCGTAAACTGTGGAGTGAGAAACGAGTGTGACCCTGCTCTTGCGTTGCTGTCGGACTATGTTTTGCATAGTAGCAATGTGATGCGCATCGGTGCCATTGTGGGTTAGTAGATTGTGAGATTTATATTTTTTAATTCTGCTGTCTGTACTTGATATGAGAATTTAGACCTGTGGTATCATCATGTGTATGTGCACAAGCGTGTTTTTTGTGTTCATGCGTGGTCCCTCTTGAACCACTTAACTGATTTTCACAAACCTTGGGTTGAATATTATGCCACAGAAAGCATTGCACCAAAATAACTGTAATTCATTAGCGTTGATTAATAATACCAGCATGGTCGTGCAAACTTGTGCGATAAGAGTGATTCTGCAGTTATTTGTGTTAATGGTTATTGAACGATGTGAATCTGTTCATAAGGTCTTACTTTTATACAGTAATATTACTGCACAATAACCGTTGCAGCTAGGCTTATAAAAATTGTGAGATATGGGGTTCTTATTACTGTGAGGATGGGGATCTTTTCTGGGTTTTGGTACCATGTAGATTCATCAGTAGATGCTAATGTTCTTGAGAAACATTGACATCTGCCGTTGAGTCTAATCAGTGCCAAAACATAGAACATAATCTTCATTTGTTTAAGTCCTTCGTGCTATAAGCTATAAACATGGTGAGAATGTGAAACTTCGATGTTACGTATGACAATTTTTATGAGTAATACTACTACTGAGACTCTAGAAGGAAGTCCCGTTGATGTCGGCGACGACGATGTTCTGAGTTGTTTTGTAATGTGTTCTTACAGGTCTTGGTTTGGCTTATGCTGGGTCAAATCGAGAGGCTGTTTTGAGTCTTCTGACCCCAGTATTCAGTGATCCGAAGTCCAGTATGGAAGTAGTTGGCATGGCCGGCTTGGCATGTGGCATGATTGCTGTCGGATCATGTAATCCTGATGTCACTGCCACCATCGTACAGACCCTGATGGAGAAATCTGAGTCCGATCTTCATGATACATATGCTAGGTTCTTGCCTTTGGGTTTGGGGCTATGCCATCTGGGTGAGTTATAGAACAGAGACACATTTGAAAAATTTTCTTCAATATTCATATGAGTGATGAGTTTTTTTAAAAACATTTTTATGTCTGATGAACATGACAAAGTTGTATTACGTTCTGTGTTTTTAAAATACTGTCCTAATAGACTTATTCCCTCCCCTTCCCCCAATGTACTGTATGCTCACAGCAAGAGAGGGAGGAGCCTGATTGGTGGGTTAAAGTACCATAAAGAATGAAATGAATGCACTGTGATTTGCTTTGTTTAGATGTTCTTGAATTTGCAAAGACTGCTGAGTAGTTTTAATGAACAAATTATGAGAGACCGTCTTTAACTTATGCCTGAGTTTTTATTCTAAATTGAAATTTAAGCCATAGAAGACTCATCAGCAAGATCTTCTCATACTAGAATTTTGAGAGTAGGGATGTACACTCCTGTACTATTAGGCTTCTGGACCGTGACCTGAAGCTGTACATAATCATGTAAATATTATGTACGTCTCGGTAATTTACATTTTAATAGCATGATAAAGAAATGTTTTTATTGACTTTTATTATAAGTGTATTTCATTACTGTACTTAGATTATAATTGCAGTTGACAGGGGTTTGTGTAACTACGATTTTATGGTATCGTGTAAAAGAATAATTACCGAGAAGAACCCCCACTCATTCTTCATTCTTCTGCAGGGAGACAAGAAGCTGTAGAGGCTATTATTGCGGCCCTTGAAGTCATACCGGAACCATTCAGGTCCATGTCAGTGACGCTAGTTGAGGTGTGTGCGTATGCAGGAACTGGAAACGTTCTGAAGATTCAGAACTTGCTGCACATTTGCAGTGAGCATTACGAACCAGCTGAGAAGGTCAGTGTAATAGTACATTTATATACTTCTGCTCTATGTATCGCTGTGCACTGTCTCTCTGCGTTCGCTGCAGTGACTTATAACAGTTGCTTTTGTTCCGTGTAGGAAGACAAGAAGGACGATAAGAAAGAGAAGAAAGAGGAAAAGAAGGAAGACAAAGACCTTTCATCACGACAAGCCATTGCAGTACTGGGCATCGCTCTTATTGCAATGGGTGAAGAAATAGGTTCTGAAATGGCGTTTAGAACTTTTGGTCATTTGGTAAGCACTCCACGCGAGAGTTAAGTAAATGCTTGTTACGTGCGGAGCGCGGTAGGCAAGTGATGTGTAACCTCCTGTTCGTGAGTGGAGAATATTGATCTTAGTTCGAAGATATTTATCATTATTTGTCATAACTATTTTATAACTACCCTCTGTAATGTGCCTACCTAGTTCTGCATTATGTCCATCTGATGGAATGGTATCTTTTCAGTTACGGTACTGTGAACCAGTTATAAGGAGATCTGTACCTCTTGCACTGGGCCTAATTTCTGTGTCCAACCCAAAACTGAGTATTTTGGACACACTGAGCAAGTTCTCGCATGACAGCGACTCTGAAGTTGCTCATAACGCCATCTTTGCGATGGGTCTTGTAGGAGCAGGAACCAACAATGCGAGGTAACTTATTGTTTTCTGAAGGTGAAATGTGTTTCATATTTTGAAATGTCAGATTCCATTCATCACGTTTTTCCATAATTTACCGTTGAATTGTTATGTGATGATTGTAGAAATGTGATTTAAAAGTGGAACTGGACATTTTATGTTTTTATTATGATTTAACCAGTATGTGATTGGAGACCTACTGCGAACTTGCAACTGCACACACAAAATATGGAAGTTATTTTTATTGTGTCAAGGGCAGCGAGGTGGATTTTGTAATTTTATCTTTTGCAGGCTGGCTGCTATGCTTCGTCAGCTGGCACAGTTTCACGCAAAGGATCCTAATAATCTTTTTATGGTGAGAATAGCGCAGGGACTTACCCATCTTGGCAAGGGTACCCTCACGCTGTGTCCGTATCACAGTGATCGTCAGCTTCTGAGCCCAGTCGCTCTGGCAGGTCTGCTGTCGACTCTTGTCGGATTCCTGGATGTGAAGAACAGTAAGTATATTACCGTAACTTAGAGACAGTATGAGTGCAATAAGTGCAAGTGGTGTTAAGTTGTTTATTTAACAGTATGAGTGCTTGAGTTTTTCCATTTTTAATACAGTAAACAGCTGAGTCCAATGAGTGCAAGTGGTGTTAAGTTGTTTATTTATACTGACATTTAATGGAACTTCAAATAATGAGGATGGCTTCAGTGTTTTTTGTCTGTAAAACAACTGTTTAGCAACTGCATAAGTTATAAGCCATTGATAGCAGGACGATAAGTGCTCCTAGATGTTAAGAGTAAGTTCAAGCTTCTACAAGGCATTGTTTGGTTCCATCATATTGAAAATGTTTTAAATGGGATTAGTGGTTCTAATGTTTTATCACCAGCCGCTGAACAAGCAGGCTCGTATTGAACCTCCATTGTGTATGAACTATGGCAAGTGTGTTCTTGACAGGGCGGAAAGTGTCGTTGGGGTATATCGTATTCACTACGGCTCTAAGAGCTACACTAACACAAATATGCTGATTGGTTTTGCAGTAATCTTGGTATATTGTATTCACTACGGCTCTAGGAGCTGCACTAACACGAATATGCTGATTGGTTTTGCAGTAATCTTGGGGCGGTCACATTACTTACTCTTCACGCTTGCTGCCGCCATGCAACCTCGAATGTTGGTGACGTTTGACGAGGAGTTGAATCCTCTGGCCGTTCCTGTGAGAGTGGGTTTGGTGAGTTTCAGAAAACCAAGTCTTGTTGAACGGATTTCAAGTTGCTCTTAAAGTTTATTTGTTTGTGTTAAGAGTTTAGAGGTGACATATTTGAGTATTTTTTGTTTACAGCTGCAATGAGCATTAAAGAAAGGAAAACTAACATTTTTCGTATGAACAGTACATCATTGTTAGATTGTTCACCTGCCAGGTTAGAGGGGAAGGTGAACTCTAGAAATACAGCCTCAGTTTGCTAAACTTAAATCAACTTTTTTCTAGGCTGTCGATGTTGTCGGACAAGCTGGAAAACCGAAGACAATCACAGGTTTTCAGACCCACACAACTCCAGTTCTGCTCGCATTTGGTGAAAGGGCAGAGTTAGCAACTGAAGAGTATGTGCCTCTCACCCCCATCATGGAAGGGTTTGTTATTCTGAGGAAGAACCCAGATTTCAACCCTTAGAAACATAATATTCTGCTTGTTGATTCAACTCTGATGAGGAGAGAGAAAGCCATAAAACAATTTTAAAAAACAAAATCTGGGAGAACAGTTCATTTGTTGTGTATTTATTACACTTCTCGCTTAATTAACCCTTTGTGCTCATTCCATTTAAACACTAGTGTGTGGCACTGAAATATACGCACGTTTCTTTACAGAAATTCCAGGATCTTGGTAATTTCAAATTTATGTCACTGTGAAACTTATACATCATATTACCAAGATATTATTTTGTTTGTAGTTCAACCCTAAATTTCGTATTTCATGATCCCCCCTTCTTTGGGGCTAAGTTGAGGCACAGCACAATGGATGGAAGTATTACGTGATTACTGCAGCCTGATGCAACTCAACACGGGCTCAGGCATAATGCGACGTGATGATATAGTCTCGGCATGGGTCCCTCCACCCACCGCTGGTGTGTATCGAGATTATTTCTGTAGTTGTATTGACATTAGTTGCGTTCAATGCTTTGGCCATTATTACTTCTGATTGTATGTCATTCTGCATTAAGAGGCGCAAAGGGTTAAGCAAGTAATTGATTGTCATTTGCATTTTACAGAAACTTGGGAGTGATCCATTTCAGATTGTTTTCGTTTCCTCTGTCATATTTGTCGTGAGTTGTAAATTATTCTGACTGTAGTGGGTACAAGTGGAGCTCAGTGAGCAGTGACAGACTGAATCAGTGATGGCCATCTTTTATTTGCCTTGTGTTACTAATATAACGTAGTGTACAGTGCCAATTGTGTGAAGTTGTAACGCACAGTGGCATAATAAAGTTGACTATCTTTCCTTACCATGAAGTTTGAATAATATCCATCATTGATGAAAACAGCTTTATAGATATCCGTGCAACAATTAAAATACTTTTTCGTCTTGTACTTGCGTTATGAATAATAAAATGTGGATGATTTTGTACTCGGTCATGTTGGGTGAGTAGTTTATAGGCAAGTATACGTTTCGTGCCTAACCAGTATTATGTAAAATATGGCGTAAAGTACTCGGTAACACATCTTTTGATATTGAAATCTTTAGTCCTTGATTTTATTTTTAGTAGTGTGTGTGTTTTCTATAACAGCCAAGAGATATGACGTGTTCTTACATTTTTTTTTGATCTGATCCAAGTTTTCATGCTTATACCTGACACAGGTCTAGGAATCCAAGGCACCCTGACTTTCATTTCTAATGTTTGATGGTGTTAGTAACTGAGAAACTGATACAGTTGCATAGGAACATCAAATAACTTCATACTTTTCAGTAACACCCTACAATGTGTAAAAACATCTTTATTGATTTGTGTAACATAATGTTGACAGATGTATCCCCATTGAGAACTAAAAACATTAAACCATAATAGATTCTTCTACATTTTAGATGGAAGCATGCACACATATTTGAGAACAACATTAAGAAATAAAATGAAATAAAATGGCCCATGTGTTTCCATATCATTTAATAATTAATAATAGTCTGTCATTCTAACAAATAAATTAATTACAACAGAAGGCTTTACGTTATGAACCCAATATGGTCTCCTTTGAATGGCTTGCTGCTTAGCCTGGAGCGTGCGTTTAAATGGCTGGGTCATAACGAGTGACACAAAGGACCACGACCTCTGATCATGGTGCAGCTGTGCGGACAATAAGGCTGCTTGCTAGTGGAGCCCAATGTTAATGGGTTAAGGGAAAATAACCCAAATGTATCACATGACTGGGTCAAAACGTTGAGTTCATACACAAACGGTGATAATTGTACTATGTTATGAATGTCGGTGACATGAAACTAGTACTGAATTTTTGACTGGGTATTCCAATAATGACAGTATTGTTTCTAGTATGATTCACCTTTTCTGTCCATTAGTGGTCATTACTTTCTTGAGGTAATTTACCACTTGTTTCACAGATAAATTGTATTTGTCTTATATCTATGCAGATATCCCCCCTCCAGAACTGACCACATTTAACTGTAGAGTGTTTCTACAACGTGGCGAGTATCTTGTGTAAGTATTCTGAAGTTACTTCAAATTAAAGTCGTGAGTGTCTGTCTCCTAATTTTCACTTCACTCTAAGCATCAAGGATAGTCACAAGTACATTATTCACACGTCTCTTCAGTTGCAAGAACATTTCTTCTGCTCGGAATCTGGAGATCGGCAAATTGTTGCTCTCCTTCAGGAGACAGGAGTTGAACTGGATTTTGCAGAACTGGCAAATTACAGAGAAGTTATATCTGAAGGTGTTCCTGTCATCTTCCCTCGAAGACTTGCCACATCGTCTTCTATCCGTACCAGAAGTTTGACTTTCTGTAAGGAGTAGCGAAATAGATTTAAATATTTGTTTACATGCGAAATATTCACTGTTATTGAGGTTTACAGGAAGGGTAATAATTCAGGAAATTATGGAAAGAAACCTAATAATAAGAAAGTGTGTTCCTTTAATGGTTAAATTTTGTAAACCACAAAAGTGTTTAGTTATGCAATTTATAAGCATCAGTATTTTTATGGCACATTGAAAATTTAAATTCCACTAATGTTCTTACAGATTTTCTCTTTTGCTTCATTAAAGTCTGAAACTACTCCAGTCTAGAAGACTATAGGTCAGTGCATAATAAATGATAAGTTTATTTGAATGATGTAACTTGTAAACTCAAGGGAGCAATGGTGAATAGATCATGTATCCAAAGTATGTTTTGTATTATATATGGATGATGAATTATGATTTCAGATATAAAATGGAATAGAAAGTAACTTTTAGTATATGCAAAACCTCTGGGAACCTTTATATAAGCTTAAGATTGAAAATAACTTAATTTGAGGTTCACTGTGTACTGCAATATTATTAATATACAGTATGAATTAACATTAGAAGCATGCACGTATTAATTTAAGATGTACTGTTCTCATGTCTCCCGGTGTCTTCATCCATAGGTAGACCATATAGCCTGGGATGCACAACATTGAAGAAAGTGCCGTAAGCCACCCAAGGACATGACTCCACCATGGGTACTCATAATCTAGGTACTTGATTGGAGTCCACTGCACAATGTTGAAGAAAAATACTCCCTGTAATGACAAAGTTACATTCGAGTGATGATTATTAGTATGTAGGATATGAGGTTTTCACAGCGGTGAGTCTGAAGATTGCTGTTTTCAGTTATTAGTATGTTTAATGATGCTACATCTACTGCATATGTTATGCAGGGTCAGATGAGGTTATATGATTATTATTTGTTGGTTTTTATGTTGTTTTACAACATACCAAGTATGAAAGTTATTAGCTTTGATGGTTCACATTTTGATAAACCAGTTTTGGCAATTTAAATCTCTACATTATGAACACACAATAATTTTTATCAGCATTTATATTTATTGGAGCTAAGTACTGTAAAAATAGCTGATGATTTTTTTAAGGCAAAGTATCTTATTATTTGAACTATCAGCTTCTTTTATACGAACTTACCACACAAATGAGCGGTGTAGTGATGGTCCAACACAACTTCCAAAACATGAATGGGTAGTAGCCAATCATGTCTTTGATGCCATCATAAAATCGGTTTACTCCAAATGCCCACGAAATAGCGATGCATTCAAAGAAGATCAAGAACAAGAGGCAGAAGCCACTCACGGCGTATGAATCAAGGATTTGGAATACGTACATTCCACCCTAAAAGACAGTGATGTGAAAAGACATAAGAACACCAGGTCTGAAGCAATTTTCTTTAAATCTTGTTTTAAAACCTGGTGCTGTTTCTTACCGGTACCCACTCTTACAGTTTTTCACCATGAGACGAATGCAGTGACAGTTCTGTTAGCTGACGCTGTGAATAACGTCCGTCATCAAGTAGAATTTCTCATGTTCTGTACTTAATTGTTTTCATGTAAGACAATGTAAAGTCCACCATGTTGTGTCATAACATTATATTCTACCCCCATCCATCGATTCATGAATGTAATTTATTCAATGAAAACATTTGTAAGGAAAAATTCATAAATCAAAAATGAAATTCCCATTGATTTCAACACAAAAAGTTCTGACTGGTTCCTGACTCCCAGAAGGATAAACCAATGTTTTCCCATTTTTTAAAATACTGTACAGTCATAACTGAAAGGTCACTTGTTCCTTTGAACATCTCTTAAGCTTCTCTCAAAAATCAACATATGACCTAATGTTTCATTAAAACATATGAATTTCCTTATTCAGATGACAGGAGATTTCTAGTCAAATTTCCATGCTTTTGGTGTGTAGATTCTAACCTGTGATATGCAGGAGAAGCCAACGATGTATGATAAAATACACACAACAGCTATGAAAAGTTCTTTACGTCGTCGCAGAAGGAGGGGCCACTCGTCAACCATGGCAGTGATGAAGCCTTCCATGGTGCAGAACTGTGGTCAGAGATGATCTTATGTTTAAAATCAGATATTATGGAGGCAAGCACAAAGTGTAGGAAGAATTAAGCTAAATTTTATTTTGCTGTCTGTGTTTGTTTTGTTGGATTTAACTTCAAATACAGTGGCTGTTTAGTCGCTGTTTGTGGTGTCACAGCCTCCTATGTACCTGACTGTCCAGTCCAATGCAGAGCAGCATGAGGAAGAAGAGGCAGGACCAGATGGGTGCGCCAGGCAGCTGGAGCACGGCGGATGGGTACGCCAAGAACGCCAGTCCCGGGCCTGTGGGTATTGAACAGTTCCTGAGATGACCTGACTTTGACAAATGTTTCAGACACTTACATGAATGAATGTAAGAGTGTAAGAAATTGAAGTGATTACTTAAAACATATTTTTGCTTCATGGAGGATTTTGAGGCATGGTGCAAACACCCAAAAGCAGGTTCAACATCAGTAATGAATTTCTGTGAAAGATTACAGTCTGATTAATGTTTCGCTGTTAAGTTTCCAACACGACGAGGAAGAATTTTAATAAAATATTAAGAATGTTGATGCGTCTTACCAGAAGCCGCCACCTCTGCCACTGGCTTCTGCTGTTCGTGTGCCATGAACCCCACAACAGAAAATATGACAAAACCGGCAAATATACTGGTACTAGAGTTGATGGAGCATACGATTAAAGCGTCCCTGAAACCAAAATGCATTAATTACATCAAAAGAGAAGAGTTATCTTATTGTGCTTACTTCACTATGTTCTGCCACTTCATTATCAGTATCATCAGATGATTCAGCACTTAATTGGTATTATAAATTTTTCTTAAGTCATCCTGTTTTTCCTTTCAGCTTATGTTCTTCCAGTTTATATGGGATTTGATGTAGATTAACGTGACATTATAAATACAATTCATACTGGTACACAGACTTTCATAATAAGCTGTTTCATTTGAATGGTACGACAAACATACTTAATGCTAATGGTTCTTGCAAAGTCTGATCTCTGAGCTTGTATTTTGATTTTAGGATTATGAATATCTCTTCAAGAATATAAAGTTAATGTGGTACTTACTTGTACACATTGTTGGTGAATTTGTTGTAGCTTCCCAAAGCTACAAGTGTTCCAAGTCCTAGACCGTACGAGAAGAAAATCTGTGTCACAGCGTCAATCCACACCTGTAAAAACACATTAGGCGCACGTGTTTGACAATGTTGGTGTTGATGAAAGATTCTCGGGTTACAAGCCACCATATCTTCTGCCAGAGTATCTTTCAAGTTCAGTCGCCGCGAAGGCTTCACTTTATACAATGTTGGTTCTGTTTTCAAGTGCTATTAAATCAGCAACCATTCTGTCGTTTCTAGCAACTTTCGGATGGTATATAAATGTGAAGATCACACGATCATCCATTAGGTAGGGAAAATTAATTTTTGTATTATTATCTTGTACACATTTCTTCTTTATATATAGGACCTACTTTACTTAGGATAGAATCTCATTTAAATTTCAATGGCAATGTGTACTATATGTTACTAAAAGTTGTCTTTTACTTACTTCAGACTCCCTGAGCTTCGATAAATTAGGACTGATGTAGAAACGGATTCCTTCAATTGCTCCAGGAAGAGTGATGCCACGTATCAGCAGCACAGTCAGCAGAACATATGGGAACAGAGCCGTAAAATACACCACCTGCAATGCACGTCGTAACAAATCATAATTTTGAAGGACACGCTGGAAGCTTACACTTGTCAACGGTATGTATTAAACAGGTGATACAATATAGGGCATCCACTTCTGTCTTTGAAAAGTTCCCAACTTCATGTTTATTGTTAATAATGCAAATTTTTAGCCTACTTTCTTAAGCAAACACAAAACAGGATTGTGAAAACTTTTGTCTTCCTAAGATCTGTGGGACAGTAAAGTGGTCATTTTGTAAGATACAATTTTTTGACTATTAAAGTACAGTCCACGACTGTAATTTTGAGATTTGCGGGGTTAAGGAGGAAAGATAGCGTCTGCCTTTTAATGCTATGGACTTCCTGCATTCCTTGCAAGTCTCGAGATTACAGTCGTGGACTGTAGTACCATTCTGTATAATGACTTTGTCTGACAAACACTGCCAGGTGGGAGCCTGACAATTTTTCTGGAACATTGTTTTGTGCTGAAAGGTGCCAGATGCCACGAAAACTTCAGTCTGTATTTTGGGTGTTGAATTACTTGACTCACCTTTCCCGTCCATTTAACACCTTTCCATATGCAGAAGTAGCACAGGATCCATACGAGAAGCAATGTCCCGGCTAGTTCCCAGCGGATGCTGCCCACATGTTCCACTCCTTCCGAGATCTGCAGCGTTCGGCGCCTGGACACACAACAAAACCATTCATGATTGTGTCCCTCGCAAAGTAGAGCTGTTTGTTTTGAAAAGCCTAAAACTTGTACTGAACATCATGATGGGTTAGCAGTTGAAGTCATCATTTGCAACTCGTGGTTTAAGTATTTGATGGAGTGGGGATCTGAAGTTGACTTGCGTAACTATCATCACCTTGCCTGAGATTTCCCTTAGATTTTATACAGGTAGTATATCTAGCGACTACAGTGGGGCATTGCCAGTCCACTATTTCCAATCACCATTTTGGTTGTCGCAAATCATGAATGACTCAGTCTTGTTCCAGAGTCCCGTC